TTTTAACAAAATGGGGTTTTGTGCAGTGCCTTGGAACCAAGAATTGAACTTGTACATGTCAGACAGGGAATAGAATAGGAAAAACAGCACTAAAATCACCTACACACCATGGCTTCTCAAGCCACATACGCTTAGAAATACATGCTAGAACCCAAGTTCATGCACAGTAATATTTAGACTGTTATTCTTTTATTTCATATGTAGCCAAAATTACTTACATTTTTCTGATATTTATGTTGCTTACCTTCTCTCATCACAAAGTTGGAAATTATTCTCTGAATCTAGAGAAATCAGTAAATAAAAATACCAAAAAGCCTGTACTATTGACATGCATTATTAAGACTTTTACTTGCTTAGCCTATAGAGAAAACCCATATTGTTTCTGAGTACGAACAGGAAAGATATAACCTGATCAATGCTCTTTTTAGATGCAGGCTTCCTTCAGAAAAGGAGAACACACTTTCCCCCCTGCTGATACTAAGATGCACATTAAACCAAGACCTGGTGCAAAAAAAGTGTCCAATTCCATCAGCATGATTATTCTTTCTGCTCCGGGTAACAACAGAGTCCTCACAACTGTTCTGTTGTGGATAATACAATACTCAGCTTAATAAATAAAAACCAGTTTCTACTGATTGTTGTTACAGCAAATAACTCTGTATTTAATGTAGGCTCATAAGATGCCAGCACGCACCTTGTGGCCTTGTTAAAACAAACTTCAAACTTGCTAAAAATAGCAGTAACTAGTAAGGATGAAACAAAAGCATCCCAGAATATTGCAGACACCTGAAAAGAAAAACTGAGGAGATGACTGCAGGGATTTTCAGTAAGATTTAAGAAGTAAGAGACCGTGTAACCTGTGGGTTTAATGAGCGTTACAATACATCAATTACAAAGACATAAGTAATTTAAGGGAAGAGCATTCGCCAGCAGTCAAGTTTGGTCACAGACTTCATTTCCTTCACAGGACAGGGACAGCAACCTGTAATTAACAGCCATGGTCAGAAGCCGTGTCCAAAGCTTGTTACCTTCTCACAGCATGCTTTCCTCACAAAGCTGGAAAGGTGAGAAACTCCCCTTTCCCACTGACAGAGAACACTACCTCCTCATCTCCATGTACTGCTGTTGGGTAGACGTGGTATTTCAGACCCACAGGGGTGACTCTTACATGCTACCACTGGTTTCTGCTGCCTGCTGCTCCTCCAGCTGTTAAGGGTACTGACACAGGAGAAGGAGGATGTCCAAGCAGCAACCCCTACCCATCACTTAAACAGGTTTTGACCTTTACTGCACTCCCAGCCTTGTATTAGGAGGCACTTCTTGACAGAGACTAACCAAACCTATTCCTCCCTTCCCTAGGTAAGAAGTTTCTTCGTGTACATCCACCTGATGTAAGACTTAAGGTACTTGCACTTCATTGCTAAATCTCCTCTCCCAACTGATTCAGCAAAGATGCTTATTGCCTCAAGGTCCAGACAGGATGAGAGGAAGGAAACACACATAGAAGAAACATAGTGAGGGTCTAACAACGTGTAGGAGACCTGTGCTAATTCTAGCAATGATTTCATCTCAAAAACGGAGTCAAGTCTACTTCACATATGAATGGGAGGATGTTCAAGGACATGGATGATACTGAAATCATTGCTGATTCAGCAAAGAAAACGTGCTGATCGACAGTGATGACCAGCACAACAGAAAGATCAGTGAAGGCCAAAATATGGTATAGTTAACTTTTATTTGTTCTTCCAGCTGTTTGACCAGTCTTTCCATCAAGTTCACAAGAAGTTGAACTGTGAATCTGAAAGATTTTGCATTGCTTCTAGCACAGTGGATTATGCATGCAGGTGAATAAACTCTTGACTGTAAATTTGAACTTTAAGGACCTTTGGAAAATCATGTTTTAATGGTGATTAGTAACTGGAGACTTACTGTATTCTTTCAATCCAAATTATGACACAGTAGAATTGAGTCTTTTCAATATGTTTGTAACATTGCTATTTTTCTCCTATGTTTTTTGGTTCTCATAAACCAAAGAAAATAGCCTAAGCCTGACTGCTCATTTTAATTGTATACATCACAGAATAGGAAAGAAAGCAGAGTCTCATTGCCATTAAACTGCCACAATGGATATTATAATAAACCAGGAGATAACAGAAATAACTCCAGTTTATCAGATTATAACTTCTGTGACTAATTTATTGCCTTCAGTAAATACTTGATGTGTTATAAAAGTATTCCAACTAACCCTCTTTTCCAATGCAATATTTATATGGTAATCCTCCTCCTGGAGAGCAGATCTCTCTCATTCCATGCTTTTGCTCCCAGTACTCTGTTTGTAGTGCTAACTTCCCCAACACATTCTTCTGAGAACTATCAGGAAGGCCTTCATAAAATACTGCGCAGGGCAGAGCGCAGGGTGCCTCTAAAATAAAGAACATATCCATTAAGTGTAAGAAAAATGCTTTTTCTTCTAATCTAAAAATTGATAGGCTGGCAGACTTTATTTAAACACAAACAGTTCACTTTCTAAACTTTCCTACTATCAGTTAGGTTTTTTTTTTAAAAATACTACCAGTTGTAGAATTATGTAAAAATTAGACTGAAACCATCGGTTTGTTCCCATATCTGCTTGTGAAAAGTTGGTGAAACTATTGAATTCAACATAAGGAATTGCTGGTTTAGGCTTTTTATATCCTCAAAGTCTTTTCTTACATGGCTTCTAAAACTCTTAGTCCTCTAATAATAAAGCAGTTCTTTGTCCAAAATTACTAGGACTGAGTTGAAGGATGCATTTTTGGTTGAAAATGCACATTAGTTCTGAAGAGTGGATCTCCCTTCAGAATATTTTGCAATTGCAGGCCTTTGAGGCATGGTAACTTCTGAAAAATATAAAAAAAAGTACTGGTGCCACTTGGGACAATCAGGTATACTGTGTTCCTGAGGCAATCTGTACAATACTGAATCAAATGCAAAGGTATAAAATATAAGATTCCAGGAATCTACTGATGCAGCTTGAAGGTTTCTTTTTTACCTTTTGAAGATGGCTCAAGACTGTTTCTATAAGAGTTTGAACACTATGAGAGCAAATGCCCTTCATCAGCTATTCTCCTTTTCCCATCCCATTCATAAGAGTTAGCTTATTCTTGAATATATGTCTGGCTTGACCTGAAGAATGCAGATGTGAGATCATCCCAATATACTACACAATGTGTGTTTTCAGTCATTTAAGGTTGTCAGTTATGACATTGCTACTTACATAAGCACGTTACCCTCTATATCTGCTGCAAGTCTTGGTTGGCTTGTAAAAGCCTCCACAGAAGGAATTCAGGCTCAGACCTTTGGAGCCATTTACAGCCCTCAGATAATGCAGTGAGAGTCACAGGGGGGTGGGTTACAGGACAGACTATGCCCCCTCATCTGTAGATCTGCAATAAGGCTTCTGATTTCATCTGTAGCTTCGTTGCCAGCCAAGAACTTCAGTATTAAATGTAAACTAAAATTTTGCCTACAAACTGGCTAACAATACCTGTAGTTTCCAGAAGTGAATTATTTGCATCGTTCTCAGTTATTAAGCTTCTCTGCTCAAGACCTATCTACATTTCCTAGGTGGACATTCCCCTGGAAAGCAATATTTTAAATGTCAAATTATCAAGTCTTAGAAAGGGTAGGAGAAGACTGCCAATCAAGTAATTTGATGAGATTTCTTCGCATAAGCAGATAGTGGTGCTGTAGTGAATAACTTCAAATTAAATGTTTTCCAGTGCCACTGTATCAGCTGCATCTTATTCATTTAGTTCCTTATGTTTAGCAGAAGTACAGCACATTTTCCATATGCCATTTATAAGGAACATACACTGTTAATTTTATTCCTTACTGGAAAGTACCCTGGTCTATTTACAAATTGATTTGGGAAGTGACATTGTGACAGTTAGTCCCAACTGGTGCGCCTGACACAAGTGTAAAAGAAAGGATGAATAGGTGGGATTTTGCATTTGTTGTTTCAGAATTAGGGGAGGTAATGTTTCCAGTTACATACACTTAAAATTATTTCTGAGAAGACGTTGAACTTAGGCATTAAGCTAAATACCTACAGCCCTACATTATTTCATTAGTTATTTTCCAAGACATCATTCATTCCTCTGTTGAAGGTTTTCTCCTTAGCAGTATTTGTCTTACTTGCAAAAAATTACAGGCCTACAAAAGAGTTTTGTTTTCTTAACCTGATTTATATAAATAGTTCCTTGAGCACTGGTATTAAAGCAGAACTTTTTTGTAATGGCAAGGGGGGTAGGTTAAAAAAAACCATTAAAATTGTACAGCTTGAAATAAAAACAAAGCATAAAAGCATAGCGTTTCATATAAGATAAGTTTTCAACTGAAATATTAAAAAAAAATCTCCAACACCCTGCCATATTAATATCAGACCAACTTGAAAGGCACTGACAATTGAACTGTGCAACTCATATCCATACCTGTGAGAGTAACAACCCCAGAGAGATGCAAACCTCCAGGGCAGAATATGGCACTGTACAGC